GGCAAAGCGCCTGCCTGGCAAGTGCAAGGTCGTGAGTTCGGTTCCCGGTACCGGAGAAAAACTAAAAAACCAAAAAAAAAAAAAAAAAAAAAAAAGAATCTAGGCGGTAGCATCTGGGTGCTCCTGGCACAATTCTTTCAACTTTCCTATGTACCTGAAATTCTCATAATAAAATGCCAAAACAAACCCCACACTCCAGTAGTGAAGGTTACCAAAAAATCACTTTTAACCCAGGCATTTTAGCAATAGATTATATATGAAGGAACATATATCAAATAAACTCATGGAAATTATTTAAAATATTATTTTTATTGCTATCAAAAGTTTAACATATGCACATTAAAGCACAGAAAGGCTTGACACAAAATACAGCTCTCCCACCCTGCTGTCAGTGCCTTTTCCTAGATCCAGCATAATCTTTCTTTTTTTAATTTATGGCCCTAAACTCCACAAGCACGCACATATTTCTAGTCCTTGAGTTTTTATTTTAAGCATTATCTATCTACCTCCTACTACAGTATACCACACTACTGAAGCCTATTACTAAAATAATTTAGAATACAGAGAACACTGATACAAAGTAGAAATAAAGTTTATCTGCTAATTTTTATTTTTATTTTATTTTTTTGGTAACAGGAATCGAACTCAGGACCTTGTGCTTGCCAGGCAGGCGCTGTGCCACTGAGCTACATCCCCAGCCCTGATAATTGCTTTTAAAAAGTAATTTGTAACTGTAATTTGTGTTCCAATGGCTAATTCCAACTATGTGGCAGCTATCCTAAAAGTCTTACTCTATGTTTATTATGGGAGCTAAGGGCTTTTCTTAAACTGAGAACTTAGCTTGGTAGAGCTTATGAGGAACTTCTATACTAGCATCACTTATTTCTTTTCTAGAGAGAGAGAACTTGCTGTTCTAAGGGCATACTGAGTTCTTTGAAAACGTTTTTGAAGAAATGAGTGTCAGTTTATTATTTCAAGTTCTAAAATCTACCTGCTGCAAACCCCTTTGAAACAACTCACATTACCCAACTAATGATCTATATACCAAACTTACCAAATATGAGAAAGTTCAAGAATAGGAAGTTTTGATTTTGTAAAAAATTCTTTAGCTGCAGATCCTGAAATATTAAAACAGTGTTATTTATTCCGCACACAGAGAACAAGAATAGAACTTGAGGTAAAAGTCTTAGACTTTACTTTGAATGGGAAAAGATAACTTTATAATGTGAATACATCATGATTTTGGTCCCCAATGATTATAAACTCTCCTTAGACAATTATCTTGTGAATTAATGGTCTTTTGTAATTAAAATCTAGGAGCAATAAAAAAATATCTTTGAAATTATGAAGTTGAGACTTTGTCCTGTCCCATCTAGAATTGAACTTCTGTTTTCAACAACTCACCTGGAATAAATCCGTTTAGATCAGGCTGAATGGTTTTAAACTGATTTATATAATACTGTCTTTGTTCATCTGTTATTTTCCAGGGATCATCATAACTACTGGATTGCCTACGAATTTCATTGGCAGTTGTAGCTGAGGCTACAGTTCGTACTGTTGTCTGGTCCTGCAATGAAACATTTTTTCCTCAGTACAGTATCTATCTATATGACTCCACGGACCAAGATTGCTAGGTTACTTATCCTTGAAAGTAAAACTTAGTTTTTTGTGGACACTTAAAATGAAGTCATCAGCAAACCACGTATTTGTTATATGTCAGGTTACTGGATATGTTTTTGCACAATGATTATATAAACATGTAGAATGATAGCAGTTATGTAAGCAACAGAAAGTTATGAAAAATGTGCTAAGAAAGCCAAGCAAATATATTCTCAGATGCAGAAACCTTTCAAAACTTCACTAGGGAATTAGAAAGTCGGCCAAACCTTTAGTGAAACATTCCAGTGACAACAGACTTAAAAATAATGACACAGAGAAGACCTCTAGATTTTTAAAATTAGGACGTGAACTTGCATTTATAAAATCTGCAACAGCAAAATATAAAAACAATGACTGCTGCAATACTCTGAATGAAGCAAATAAAAATGCAATACCAATAAAATGTCACACCTGGACAGAAGCAGGATGCATGGTTAAAAGAGTACTGGTTGGTGGAGTATCTGCAAAACTGACCCAGTTTTCTTGAGGTGGAGGTGGAGAATGCCCGGACCACACTGCATCACCAGCAGAAGAACCTAAAAGGAGAATGAGGGAGCACACTGACTCACATTTGCAGACAACAGCAGTTACTGAATTTGTAGCTAGGACTGTAGCAAAGTTCTTTCAAACTCTACTCTTGAAGAAATGCAACAGTTTCCAAAATGCAATCTCTTCTGTTCAATTAAAAATTACACCGCATTTAAAACTTTTCGGTTGTTTTGTGCTTTCCTTGTTAATACTCATTCATTTTATCTTCACAGAATCTGGTTCCACTGCCTTTGTCTAAGCATCACAGAGAGAAGTAAATCTAATTACTACTCTTTAAAGTGATACATCTGTACATAAATTTTCCTGTTTTTTTTTTTTTTGCTTCTGTTTAATTAATTCACAATTAAAAACTGTCTTGGAGGTAACTACCTTAAAGTAATATTATCAAGTTTCCTTCAATTTACAACCATAAACAGCTGATATTTCTAAAGAATCTCTGTATACCTGATTGTGCTTCACCAAAAGGAGACCAAAATGGCCCAGGTCCTCCAAGAGGCCTCTCACTGTTCCCGCCGCTGGAATGACGGTTGTGCTTCCTCCACGTGTGTGGAGAAGTCGGTGGCGACTGCTGTGGTGAAACTACTGGGGATGCAGGTTCCTAAAAACAGTATTACTACTATAAAACTGAAACTTTAAGGAGACATTTTAATTATTAAATTTATAGCATTTACAATTTAATTATTAACTTATTAATAAACTCATGCAAACATCTACACAGGGCATCAACCAATAATATCTACAGGCATGTGATCACCTGTTGATCTGCAGATGCCCGAGGCTGAACCGTATCATGGCTTATGGATCCCTTTTTCACTTGTCCTCTGCCAGGTGGAGGGGGAATCACACCAGAATAAGATCCTTGATTTTCAGAATCTGAAGAATATGAGGCTGCATGACGAGATTCTTGTTCATTCTTTGAAGCAACAAATCTTGGCAGAGGAAGATCCTTTACTGTTAATGACAAAAATAATTACAGATTGAGTCTTCATTACTCAAAATACTATAGATGAGAAGTATTTCAGATCTCACAGATTTTCAGATTTTGGAAAGTTTGCATATAGACTTTACAGGTTGAACACTGCTACACTAAAACTCAAAATCTAATTGGACCTCACGCCGGTGCTCAAAAAAGTTTTGGATTTTGGATTTCAGATTTGGAATGCTCAGCCTGCATTATATTAAAATAAAAAAGGACACACATACTAAAAAATGAAATCAGGGAAGAATTAGATACAGAACTTTTGCAAAAATTGGCACAGAAACAACAGACACAAAGCATTTATCATTACAACATTCAGGCCATTATTTCCCACAGATTATTTAGAAAGACTCTTGCCTAGAAAGTAGTAAAACCAGATTGCTCTTCTAAGGGCTGTGGTAACAATAACTACGGATGGCTGAACCTATGTTTGCTACTTTATATTCATCTCATCTCATAATCACATCAATCTTACACAGTTCCTGTTTAAAAAAAAAACCTCAAAGCTCTAAGATTTCCAAGGGCACACTGGTAATGCACACTGTAATAACTGACAAGATGAGAAACCAGGAGAGTCAGACCCCTAGGTCTAGGTTGTTTCTATACATACTGGATCTCTAGAGTAATTTACGGCAGTCAGAAAAACACAGAATGTATCAGTGAGTATGAGACTAGCAAATTTAGACATTTCCATACCAGGACTTGCTGAAAATACCTACTCGTTTTCAGAGGAAAGCATGCTTCCATCTACTAAATGGTTCTCTCCTTTCCCTCAACCCCACTTTGGGGACAGATTTTCTGCATGCTAGGCAAGCACTCTGTCATTGAGAGATATCCCTAGCTCCTAATTTCCCTACAATATAAAGGAGGAAAACCATTAAGCTTATTTACTATATATGTAAAAGAATTCAAAATTACCTAAAAAAATATAAACTCTCATACTAGAAGAATGTAGCTAATCACAGGTCTACAATTAAAACCTCTGACAAAAAACTGAACTAATGATTAAAAATATAAAAATTCTGATGTAATAGAAGACCTCACATTTCCCCTTTTCTCTATGAAAACTACAGAATCCACCATACTTAAGCATCTGTATTTATAGAATGTCTATTTTCTTCCATATCAACCAGTCACCAAATAATTGAAAAAAAGCTATCCAACATGACATTTGTAAGGTGGTTACCATCCCTGGAGCTCAGTTTCCATTCACCAATATTTTAATACCGTCTCTAGCAATCAGAAAATTTTAGTTAACTCTTACATTCTAATTTAAAAAATGGAGCCTCCGCTGCCTTCCCCCTCTCCTCCCCAAACCCCAGCAAGGTAAGTTTATTATATTAGAAAAAAGGAAAAGGACGTTATATAAAGAGATGTTCACTACAACTTAATACTAACTTTGATAAGTTACTTAAAATTCTAAGGAAATGTTAGTGAATTCTGAAAAACTGCTATCTGAACACATACTATTATCAAATATATAAGATATACATATTCTATGCTATAACAGATATAAGAGAGACCTACTTTTCTATGAGAAATACAAGGTAATGAGAATTACACCCTGTCACCCAAACGTCAAAAATGTCATTATGATATCAGAAAGACTAAAAAGTTCTACTGACTCGAATATTATTTGTAATTAAGACTATTTTCATTTCAGTAACTAGTATATTGCATATTTACCTGTATTTATACTTTCTACTCTTAAAGGAAACCCAGACTGGGCAACAGCTACAAGTTTCAAAGCAATGTAGAATTGACTTCTTCCAAAATAACCAAGTCGGGTTGCACCACAAAGCTCCATAATCTGGAAAAAAACACAGTGTTAGCATTACGAATTATGCCAAAATTCTCCATTCAAAACTATGCAGCTAAAACAAACAAACAAACAAAAACCTAAGCAGCTAAACAACTTGTTAGTAACTTCTTCAAATTTTCTAATGTATGATGTAATACTCCCAAATGACAATCAATTTCCAGTTCTTGAAAACAAACCCCACTTGTTTTACAATAAGGTCACCATTCTACTATTGATCCAATCCATGTAATGAGCAGTTTTATTAGAATTTTCTTTCAGGTGCTTTTTTAAAAAAGAAACAATATATCAACCATGTTCTTTATGACAAGCACTGTCCATATAACAGCTCCATGCAGCCAATAGACTATTACACAGCTACTGAAAGCAATAGTCATAAAATGATGTAACAACATGGAGAATGCTAAGGAGATATGCCAAGCAAGATACATAATCTTAACCAAGTAAACACAAACTTGGAAACTGTATCAAAATTCCATCAGCTATTTAGGCAGGTGAGATTAAAAGAGTTTTTGCTCCTCGTTTCCTAATTGTACTTAACATGATTATATGGCTTTTCTTTAAAACAGAGTTTTTATTTGCTCTCTTCCTTTTTCTAACCATGAAAGCTTTCAAGGATCTACACTGATCAGTTAAGTCATCCAACAAGTATCTCAAGATTGGCTACACAAGTAAATACAGTGGTGCCTCAGTTCATGAGCTTAATTTGTTCCATGATTCTGGGAAGATTACTGCGTTCTGTCTGTCATCTGATGGAGTCTGAGAATGGAAACAAAACTTTCCCTAATACTTCTGTTTGGTAACCGAACTGTTCACGAACAGAAGCATTTGTGAACTGAGGTGTTGCTAGTCAGACTCAAGAAAGATGATTTCAAATTGTGCTACCTCCACTCAAAAAAGCAGAGATCTGTATTATACAAAGGTTATGAATTTGTCTTCAAGTAAGCACTATGTATCTCTGTCATTTTTCCAATAAAACAAATTCTTGTATATTTAACGCGTCCATGATGAGGCTGTAATTTTATGTCTCATTGCCAGGCGGCTTGAACCAGTGGAGGTACATGCCAGCAGGAATGAGTTAATCTGTCTTCCTTTTCCTGAAACACTCAAATCAGAGCAAGGTAAATTTGAGATGCTGTATTACTAAGTCTGAAGAAAATTATTTAAAGAACTGCAAACAAACACCTCCCAAAGGTTAAACAATACTATGGCAACACTACTAATCATTTGTTTACATGCACAAAGAGAAAAGTCATGTCTGTTGACTGATCAGCACTGGTTTTGCCATGAAGTGGTAAATACTTCTGTGGAAACTTAAAAAGGGACAGGAAATTTTAAAAGGCAGGTTAAATCATTAAAGGAATGGTAAAGAAGAGAAGGCAGAGTTAACAAAGAAAGGCTACATAACCTTGTAGGTCACGCAGGCATTTTTATTGTGATCACTGTATTAGTTTACACTTTTCTGCCTACCTGCTGCTTGTTAAGGGATCATTATATATCTTAGACACCCCTTTGCTGATAAAGCAAAGAGTCTGAAATATGTCAGGTATATGCCAGAGACAAGGAAGACCTAAAGTGTAAAGTAACAGTAGTTTGTTGACACTCAGGGGATGATATCCAGGCAATGGTTAGAAAGGAGGAGATGGCATTAAGGAAAAGCCAGAATCTTGTCACTTTTTAAATTTGTATTTATTAAAAGTTTGAGTTTGTTAGCTACATACGTTTCTTTTCCTGTGAGAATTATCCAACTTGTCCTTTATTGATTTTAAAAAGGAGTTATGGGTCTTCTTTATTCATTTTTAAAAGCTTTATTACATTATGGATATTGACCTCCAAGTGTCATGGAATTCATTCATTCATTTACTCAGTGCCAACTACGTACTATGTGGCTCCGACAGGAAGGAAAGGGCCCCTCAGAGAAGAACAGTTCTATGTGTGGGGAGACGAAGGCAGGGCTGGGAAGGAGGGATGGAGTGACAGATGAAGCTGAAGACTTAGGCACAAGCCTGTTCATCCTGCACATGAAATTTCCCGATTTACCTGTTTTTTAACTAAGTTCTTATGGTGGTACAGAATTTTTAAATTTTTCTACAAATGTATCATTTTCCCCCTTTATGGCTGTTGGGTTTGCTATACTTAAAAAGGTCTTTATAAATATTTTATTCTGGAATATTTATGATTAATACTAAAGATATATAAGTCCTACTAAACTGGAATTTATTTTTGGAATGAAAAATCAAGTTAGGAATTCTCTTGATCCTATTTATTGACCCTTCTTTTCATTCTCTTCTAGTAACTTGAAAAACCAAGTTATATTTATTTCTGACTCCTCATTTACAGTTCTAAATGGTTATTCTTGGATCTGTAACACACTATATCTTGATAATATGTGATGAAAGTCAGTCTACCTCTCAATGATTTTCCTCCTTGTTTAGAAGGTTCTGGGATATTGTCATACAGCAAATGATGTTTCATGTGTCAGGATGACTATTTACTTGGGATGGCTACTTATTTACAGACTTGTTCCAAACTGTAACCAGATCATTCCTGGTCTTCTGTCACTTAAGCATGATACTGGCTGACACCGGACAACACCTTTCAGCGTTACTCAGCTGGTTCCCTACTTCTGAGCTTTGCTTTTGGCTTCTCGTTTTTCAAAACCTACAAACAGATGTTAATTTTATCATGTGCATTTGGAGTAGAAAATTAAAAGGTCATTTTTTTTCTCTTTCTTCTATTAACATGTATACTAACAGAGTATCTAACAGGAAACCATCTCTTGGTTTTTGGAATGAATTCTATTTAGCCACGGTGCATATTTCTCCAAATAAAATATTTTAAACACTATCTTAAAACAAACTTTAAAAAAATTCGATCTGTTAAGTTTTGACATTGGGTGTTATGTTGGTTTTGTAAGAAAAAATAGTCTTATTTTTTTCCCTGTTCTGGAATATTTTCAGCAGATCACAAATTAACAAGACATAGTAGTATGTGCCTATAGTCCCATCACTCTGGGAGGCTGTGTCAGGAAGACTGTAAGTTTTAACTTAGCCTGGGCAACTAAGTGACTTAGTGAGACCCTATCTCAAAGTTTAAATAAATATAGAAGGAAAGTGATATAGCTCTGTGCAAAAATTCTGGGTCTGATCTCAATACCACCAGCCAAAAATTATGTGTTCTATGAATATTAGAAAGAATTTATCTATGATTATAGGCTGGGCTAATATGTATCTCAGTTTCTTCTTTCCTATTATTTTAAATAAACTAGGTTTTCTATTTCTAAAACATCTGATAATTCCCTAGAGACTCATTTATCACCTCCAAATTTTGAAATTTATTGGTTCATCATCATACAAAGTAGTCTGATTCTTTTAATTTCCTCTTAATCTTAATTATTCATATTTACGTGCATGCTCAGTCTTTCTCAGGCAAAGTTAGCTATCTGACCCAAAGAACACTTGAAGCACTTGTTAGGGTACAGATTCCCAAACCACCTCCAACGGATTACTAATTCACCTATGAAATCCAGAGCCAGTTGGTGGTTGCTGGCATGCTAGTGATAGCTACTGAGAACTATTAAGCTTTATTGCCAGTTTTTGTTTTTTGAGACAAGTTCTACCTATGCAGTTCAAGCTGGTCTTAAACTCATTATATAGTCCAGCCGAGGCTCAAACCTGGGGCAATCCTCCTGCTTCAGGCTCCCAAGCACTGGGATTACAGGCATATTACACTACCATGCCCAGCTAAGGCTTATTTTCTTAATATTACAAGATCTATAAGACCATGGTAAAAATAAATAAAATGGTAATTAAGGATATAAAATTTAAAGTTTCTATAGCCCCATTAAAATTAACAATTCCTTTCATCTGTTCTTTTTTCCATATGTATATAAACATACAAGCACATGTAAGTAATATACAGTAAACATTTTATAGTCACACCATACATTTTATTGTGTTAAAGATCTTTCTATATCAGCACATATAGTTCTCTCTTTTTTTTTTTAACATAGCATTCTACTGTGTGAATATACCTACCACAAATTAACCAATCCCCTATTGAGGGGCCTTAAGATATTTTCCAGTTTCCTTACTACAAATAATACTATAAATACTTTTGTGTGTGTATCTTTTGCATATTAGTATAACTGTAGGACAAAATTCTAGACATAGAAAATGTTTAAAATATGACATAGTCAAATACTCAAAACTTTGCTTGACTACATCTTACTAACCAACACAGAATCCTGGCTGCCAGGTCTGAGACAACAGAGAGAAGTTAATGTCATTGACTTTATTGGTTTCAGAAAGAAATATCTGTACTACGTAAATCAGTACTGACTTATTTTGTAAATGTTCCATTCTGTGATTATCAAAAAGCCACTATATAGACTGTAATTCTTTTTTGTTTCTGAGACAAGGTCTTGCTATGTAGTCAGGTTGGCCTTGAACTCACTGAGATCCTCCTGCCCCGAGTGCTGAGATTGCAGGCATCTGCGACCATGCCTGGCATGTAGTCAGTTCACTGTAATACCTACACAGATCAATTTGGTTAGACAATCATTATTTATATCATTGACGCTATTTTAACAAGTTGTATAACTTTACCATGCCTCAGTTTCCTCAAAGGTAAACTGAGGAAAATAATATGCTTCCTTATTTGATTGCTGTCAGGATTCAATGAGACTATTCAATAAAGCACTTTAATGGTATCTGGCCCACAAAGATCATTATTATTACTTTCCATGTACTCTTCTGCCCATTGTGGATTTTATATAGTTTAGGTAGCTCAGAGACTAAGTCATTATATAGTTTAGGTAGCTCAGAGACTAAGTCAGAGTCTCACATTTCCCTGAGACCTCAAAATTTATGCCTTTAAAATAGTAACATGGATTTTGTTAGAACTTGTTTGTGCGCTAGGGAATGAACCTAGGGCTTTTGCATGGTGAATACATGCTCTATCACAGATATACACTTCCAGGTCTGTTTTAT